AAAATAGGTAGGATCCAGAAGAGTGCTCTGGTGGTCTCTAGCCAAAAAAACCCAAAGTCAGGAGACATTCAACATGACAGGAAATGTAAAGTCATTCATAGATATTCAAGTAAGCTGGCTAGTAGTGGGAACTATTTTTGGTGGGATAAAGCAGAAAGCTGTAGGAGACATAAAAAGCATATAAAGAAAAAATACTGTTGTATGGGAAGCTTATGCTGTAGATGAAATGCAGAAAATGGTGAAATGTAATTAGCCTGAAAACTGCAAATGATAATTTTCTAGCACAAAATGTACTACGTTCAGTACAAGGTTGTTTGGCTAGAGCAGCTTTATGGGAGCTTGCAGTGATGAATTCATCTAGAAATCTGTGTTGCGTAGGGACAGTCTTCTCCGTAATTTTCTAACATTCAGTGTAACCAAAAGTTACTTCCAAACAGTGAAATCACATATTTGAGTGTTCAGGAAGACTAATTATCAAAAGCAAAAGGGAATTGTGACCAAAACTAGCTGGAAAGGGAAGTGTAAACAACAACAACAGAAAATAACAAGAAGGACTTTTTGAGGAAGAAGACAGTAAAAGTATGTCCTGCGTCAATGTCGAGACAGAATCAAATATAGAATGAAGGGCAACTAGTTACGAAGTGTGGGAAAATTAAAGAGAAACTAAAGGTCATGGGCAAACAGCATGTCTGCTCAGCTATAAGACTTGTTGTTAAGTAAAATGGGAGTTTTGATGTGGTTTGTATTATCTGAACGCTGCTGGCTTATTCGTAGCTGGAGATGGCTGAACTTTTAATAATGATGTGGGAGAAGCAAAAGGTTTTGCAAAAAATACGTGTTCTAGGTGAAGCAGAGTGAAATATTTGTTTCACTGAAGTATGGTAAAATAACTTTCCATGCCCCACGTGAGGCACTTCGCATACAGTGCTGCGGGCTGGTTTGTAATCTGCACCCACACACCTGATAGTGTGGGAAACCAGCCTGTTAATAGTTGTAGTATGATAAAAATAGCCTGCGAGTACATTTTGGATCATTGGAGTACTGGAAAACTAGGCTGAGATCTTTGACTAGCTTTTTATTTTTGATAAATGGTGGAGTGCAATAAAAATTCCATGGTGCTAGAAGAGTGCTATTATGTGCCAATATTGAAAAAAACCCAAGCAAAACACTCACACACACACGATAACTTGCAAAACTGCAGGCTGTCTGTCAGATTTTAGTCCAGAAGGGGTAATGGTGAAGCTGGTTCTGGGTTCACACAGTAGATAACGAAAAGAATGGAAATGAAATTAATTCCAGTCTCCCTGATGTTGTGTAAAAGGTTGAGTTTTGTAGATGCTGTTCTTACTAAGAAATTGGCCTTACGCAGTGTCAGGAAAGTATATGCTAAACAGATTGAGAAGCTGCTCACCTAACAGATAGAAAGAATTATTACTGAAGGATTGTTGTTGAGTGTAGCATTTTTAATGAGCACATTTTTATACCGAGCCTAGTACAACCGCTTTTTTCCCCCAGCAGTTCTAAATGTAACATAAATGCTGATAGAAATTTGCTGTAAATACAAAGAGTAGTGCTTGGTGGGGTGAAACAATGAAAAGGGGGATGCTGTGTGCAACAATTTATTTCTCAGCAGAATTGAGATTTTGGGGGAGGAGGGAAAGGGTTTGTTTTGGTTTTTCTTTTCTTTTTTTTTTTTTTTTTTTTAAATCTAAGCTAGGGGAAAGTCTAACTTGAGGAGCAAGGTCTACAACAGCCTTACTCTCAGAAGAATACTAATTGACCGAAACTTTTACAAATAAATATTCATTCACACACACCGATGCATGTTCATATGAAGTTAGTTTGAGGCATCTGTTCAGAATGGGAAAGTTTCATGATGAAAACTAGTTTTGTAATGGAAGGTGGATATCAACTCTGTTTACACTTTTGTTTACACATTTCCCGTCTAGTAAATATAAGATAGCAAGATTTTTTTGTGTGTGTGTGAAAAAGTTTGCATTGTCAACTTCTGATAGAACAACTCAAAATATCATATAATTTGATTCAGTTAATGCAATTAACTTTGGTTAAACTTATTTCCTCAGTAACATTGGGTTCATAATTCCCAAAACATTATTTAATTTAAGGTAGAGGGGTAAGTGAGTGTAATGAAGAGAATCAGTTGGTTTGGGAAGTTATTTTTGATTACACTGAATTGTTGCAATATTTTCTTGGAGTTGCAATACTATTTTTTTAAGTTTTCTGAAACTGGCATATACCACTGCTCATGTGGTTCTTGATAATCACTGTGGCATGAGTGGACAACATTGTACTCAAAACTTGCTGAATTGATTTCTTTGGCTATCCATAGCCCTTAATGGATCCAGAAAGAAGAATTTGAATTTTACAAGAGTGTCATGGTTTAACCACAGCTGGCAACTCAGCACCACGCAGCTGCTTGCTCACACTCCCCACAATGGGGTGGGGGAAAGAATCAGCAGAGTAAAAGTGAGAAAACTCATGGGTTGAGATAAAGACAGGTTAATAGGGAAAGCAAAAGCTACGCACGCAAGCGAAGCAAAGCAAGGAATTCATTCACCACTTCCCATGGGCAGGTAAGTGCTCAGCCATCCCCAGGGAAGCAGGGTTCCATCACGCGTAACGGTGACTTGGGAAGACAAATGTCATCGCTCTGAATGTCCCCCCCTTCCTTCTTGTGAAGGAAGACTGATTTCACATTGTTGCGACGATATGTCTTCTGGTCTGGTCTTGGGTAACTGTTATAGTGAATTCCAGACCTGAAACTCTTACTTACATTTGTTGGTGTAGGACTAAGGAGATGTGTTTGAAATTGTTCAGACTATTATTTCAACAGTAACTTTTGTAATACAGTATTTCATATGAACAGTCTGTAAAACTCTCAAATTCAGTGATATTTCCTTTGAAATAAAATACTGTTTTAAAGGGAAATATTACAAGATTTTCCATTTTGGTATCACATGATTTAATGAAATGTCAGCCAATACATAGTAGATTAAAATAGCAAATCGGCAATCAGTAACTTCATACCATTTGAAACATCTCCTAGCTTTAAGTGGAATTTTCAAAATAGTTGCTATTGTAATTGATACCTGAAGACCTTGGGAGATAGAGTTGGTGCCCTTCTAGT